AAACAGTTTTGGGGGGTTTCGGGCTCGGGGTAAACAACCTCCAAGCGCTGCATCTCAACTCGCCAACTCGCTCGAATCTCATGCATAATAAGCCCCTGAACCCCTACACCCTAAACCCTGAACTTCACCCTAATCCCTAAACCCCTGAACCCTGGACCCTAAACCCATCTTGCGGATTCTTGAATCTTCCGGGGTCTGACATACGTCATTCGAGCCGAAGTTTTGCTTGCCATTCCCCACAGCCCAAGAAGCTTAAGATTCAGATCTAAGCCTGTCAGCTTAAATGCCAAACCCAGGATTTAGAAATAGTCCTGGTCCTAACCTGGCTTCCTTGGATACGACTAAGTCAGCCAGGCAGAAATCAAACTAAACTCAGCCCATGGACTTGACACCGGAAACCCAGTTCAACGCTTCAACAACCCTTATTGCACCCTACAAGAACCCTTGCAGTAGAACCCTTGAAGAGCCCTTACCTAGCCCTTCTCAAAGCACCCATATACAGAAGGAAGCCCTAAACCCTAAACCCTATTGTGTGGAGCCTTGCCTGCCTTGTGCGAGAGTGAGAGGCGAAATGATTAAGGGAGCCTTTAGATCAGCGTGCCGGACTATTTTGGGGGCCTGCAAAGGGATCCTGATGTAGAGAACTACCCAAGACCCTAAGCCCTAAACCCGAAACCCTAAGCCCTAAACCCGAAACCCTAAACCCTAAACCCGGACCCTTAACTCTAATCCCTAACCCTAAACCCGAAACTCTAAACCCTGAGCTGCCCACGTAAGGAAGCCGCCGGATGCGTCGGAGCTGCGCGACGTCCTGGCTTGGACGCTGAACCCTCCCAGGTTCCCATAAGAAATTTGATTCAGGGTTTGGGGTTTGGGGTTTAGGGTTTAGGGTTCAGGGTTCAGTCCGTGCTGAAACGGGTTTAGGGTTTAGGGTTTAGGGTTTAGGGCCAAGGTTTAAGGTTTAGGGGTTTGGGCTCCCAGGGTTTAGGGTTTAGGGCCACCGTTTAGGATTCTTTGAGGGTTTAAGGGTTTTGTTGGGGCATTTTAGGGTTTTAGGGTTTAGGACTCTTTGAGGGTTTCAAGTTTAAGGGTTGCGGGTTTTGACGTTTTAGAGTTCTTGACTCTCTGAGAGTTCAAGGGTTTTGGGTTTTGGCGCTTTAGGGGTTTTAGGGTGTATAGGATTCTTTGAGGGCTTACAACAGTCTTGGCAGGGGGTCTAGACGAGTACCACTCTAAAACCTGCATTACTTTCGGTTTAGAGTTTCGATGTGGGATTAAGGCTAGGTTCCTGAGTAGTACCCTTTTGCCCTTTTTATTGTATGGTTCCCTTATTAAAACTGAATAGCAGGAAAAAGGGTACCCTTATTATAAAGGGGTCACTCAGGAACCTAGAAGGGTTTCTGGGGCTAAGGGTTTAATAAGTACCAGATCCTCTTTTAAGTAGATCGGGTTTCCTGTCAACGAGGACCTAGACGTCAGATTTTACCGTTTAGGGCTCGGAGGAGGCTCTTCGCAGCATGGTGCGCTTCGTGCTCAGAGGGCTTAGAGTGAAGATTGCGGTCTTAGGTCCATCAGAGCACCACCCTCAGCTCGTAACCCTACACACCAAGCCTTTGTCCCAAAACCCTAAACCTAACATCTTGCACCAAATGAATTCACTGGTATATCTTTATAACCCTGTTTCGTAACGCGTTCAGACGTGCAAGATGTAAGAAAACCTCGCACCCTGAACCATTAGTAGCTGACCGTGCGATCCTCGGGCCCCTGTACGGGTTCTATGAGGAACTACCAGAATAAGGGCTCTGTTAGAACTTGGGTTCCATACGGGCCCCCATGGAGGGTTTAGGATTCAGGGTCTTGTTCTTAAGCGGCTTCCCAGTAGCGAACGATGAAGCAAGCCGTCCAACGGGCCCTGTTTTCTTGGTATCTCGGGAGCTATTTTGGCAAACAGGCTCCTCACGACTCCTGGAGATCAGTATCTTGGAAGCGCACACCCTGTAGCATTGAGCAGAGTATGCCGCCACCAATGCTTTTGCATGCCACCGCATCAACCCCTATAACGCTAGAAGTTTGACTTGCCTTTGCGCATGATAGCGATCACTGTGGAAGTCGGGTTGCTCAGTGGTAAGACAGCTTCTGTCAGTTTCGACTCGGATGAAAAGGTCGAAACATTGAAGCACGGAGCGCTGACCGCACTCGGAGTTGCAAGAGGTCGACTCATCTGGAAGAGTTTTAGATGTATGTACATTGATCAAGGATGGCATGGTGGAAAATGGTGATATACTGATGCTGCACTTAAGCCTAGCTCAGGCATGTGGCAGCAATTGTGCTTGTGCTGCCATTCTAGGCGAAGGTTCTGTCGTGAAGTCGGGTGATGCTGGAACGGGTGGTGATGGTAGTGCAGGATCAACTGAAAGATGTGCAACAGGTCCAGGCCGGTGGCAGCGCGTTTGTTGCCATTCTCGGCGATGGTTCTGTCGTGACCTGGGGTGAGGCTGACAAGGGCGGTGACAGCAGTGCTGTGCAGGATCAGTTGAAGAATGTGCGCCAGATCCACGCCTCTCAATGCGCTTTTGCTGCCGTTCTTGGCAATGGCGCCATCGTGACTTGGGGTATGGATGCCTTTGGCGGGAAGAGTAGTGCTGTACAGAACCAGTTGACGAACGTGCAGCAGATCCGAGCCACTCAATGGGCTTTTGCTGCCATCCGTCGTGACGGATCCATCGTGACTTGGGGTTCTTCCCGTCACGGCGGTGACAGTAGTGCCGTGCAGTAGTTGCGAAAGGATGTGCAGCAGCCCCAGGCCACTGGCTTCGCTTCTGCTGCCATTCTAGGACTTGGGGCGAGGCAGACAAGGGTGGTGACAGTAGTGCTGCGCAGGGTCAGAACGTGCAGCAGATCCAAGCCATTCAACCCGCCTTCGCTGCCATTCTCGGCGATGGTTCTGTCGTGACCTGGGGTGAGGCTGGCAAGGGTGGTGACTGCAGTGCTGTGCAGAATCACCTGATGCTTGTGTAGCAGGCTTTCCTGTGTGTCTCAGTCTGTGGGAATCCAGGCGGTCATAGCAGAATTCCGCGGCATCAGAGGGCGCGCAACGCAAGATCTTCGCAAGCGTGTTGAAAGGCAAAGTCGTCGAGCACGGACCAGAGCGTCGACATGTGGCGGCAAAAAAGCAAAACCCTAAACCTAGACCGAATTCCTTTTTTGTGGGAAGGTCCCGGCATGTCTTCTCGAAACTCAGGCTGGGTTGCTCTTACTTACATTGTAGTCCCAGTGTAATCCAGGCAGGCCCTAAGCATAGTTCATGTTTGCCCTTATTGGGTTCTGGGTTTAGGGTTTAGGAACATTGGATGCCAAGAGGATCTGATTGACGAAATTTGCTCAAAGGCTTTCGAGGGCCAACCTAATCATTCCATTATAATGTACGGTAAATCCTGCAACGCTCTCTTCTAAGTATTCAAACCCTTATTGTAATAGTATCCTGGATCTTAAACAGTTTTAAGTTGAGGTGGCTGTGGGATGTTATGTTTCATTTGGAAATGATGAAAGTTACCTCCGCTCGGTTTCACCTCCAACCCCTAAACCTTCAAACCAGGAACCTCGGGCCTGTCTGAGTGTAAAGCAACCTAAACCAGGGAGTGCGACCTTTAAAGGAGCCCTGACTGAGAGAAAAAGGGGGCCCGACAAAACTCGATACAAAAAAACAGCCCTAAATCGCGGAACAGAAGAACCCTACAGACAAAAACGGAACAAACAAGCATAGACGACAACAGCAAACAAACGCACCCTGCACCCTAAACCTTAAGCCCTAAGCCCTAAACCCCAAGCCTTATATCCAAAACCCTAAACTCATTGGGACCCTCAGTGGTGCAAGGAATAAGGTAGGGGACCATACTTCCTGAAACAGGCCTTATTCGGTCCTCATTGGCCCCCTACCGCCTCCCCTCTACCCCCCTAAGCGCCCTTATGATAAAACCCTATATAAACCCTAAACCCTAAACCCTAAACCTAAAACCGTAGCAGGGACTGGGACCTCGATGACATCGCTGAAGGCCTCTTGGCCCACCGCCGGTCGGAGCTTCGCCTGATCACTTGCCGGAGTTCTGACAATAAAAGCGCCGACTCAGATTTTTGGGGACGAAAGCTGCGGCACTTGAAAGTCTGAGTTCAGGGGCTTAGAGTTTAGGATTTCTGGGATTCAGGGCCTGTGAGACCTCGCCTGGCTTGTCCGAGTTGTGAGAGCGTAAATGACTTTTAGGGCTTAGGGCTTAGAATATGGTATGATTCCTTATGTAAGTCCTACCGAAAGCCTTTATGACTTGCCTCTTTGGGGTTACTAATAATTTTGACTATGATTCCCTATATGGACCCTTAACAATGTAGGTGTTAGAGGGCCCGGGAAAAGCCTTATATATACACACATACAGACACACCCAGATATATGTGTGTATATATATATATACATATATGCATATAACTTCCATCTATGAGTCCGTAAGAAAGTAGGTTCGTAGGTTTCATTTTCAAGGACAGGCTTGAAGGGGGTTTTGGGTTTAGTCGTTGGGTGTTTTTCTTCTTGTTTGGCGTTGAAAGGGTTTGTAAGACTTAGAGGGCTCATGGGGTTTGCAGGGTTTGGGGTTTATAGGGTTTATAACCCTAAGCGCTAAACCCTAAACCCTCACAGTATATAGGCTTTATAGGTTTTTTTACAGGTTGCTGAAGGGCTCGCAACAGCTGTCTTGAGCCCTGGCTTCCTTTGGCAGGTGTTTCAATGGTGTCTCAGGGTCCATAGTTGTTGGAAACGTCTTCCCTGTAGAATGGCTGTTGCTGTGTATGTTGTAAAGGCACTATGCCAGTCGACCAAGAATTCCTAACCTTCTGTTATAAATACGATTACCGTCATCATTCGGACCAGTATGATTGCACAGTTACTTACATTATGAAAGGAGGCTGATTCCCGTGACTGGCCGAGCCCAAGCCATACCCTAAGCCCAAACAAGGAAGAGGTGGAGCGCCCGGATGGCCAGACCGAGATCGTTGAGCGAGGGAGATGCGAGGCACGACATGCAGGACAGAGAAGCAGAAAACAGCCTTGGGTGTCTTTCGCGGGCTCTACCAGTGGCCCAAAAAACCTACCCTTTCTACGGGATTGAAAGGAAGATACCAGAGTAAGGAAACCCAAGCAGGCAGGGGGTTTTTGGCCACAGGTAGGGGTTTAGGAAGGCTTCTGAACCACCTTAAAGGATTCCTTGGTCGGGCCGCCTTTTTTGCTTTCAGCGCGCCGGGTTTCAATTATCTGCAACTTGACAAAACGTATTCGAACCTCCCGTAGGCATCCAACTTCCGGAAACTTTCTTAATGCATACTGCATACATGTGTCCTATTGTCGCCTGGTTCACATCCTGCCAACGCTTCCCCGGACTTGCCGAACAAAATATGCCTAGAAGGTTGCGAGCGACATATAAGCTGTTTCAGTCGCATACATCTTGCGGCAGTTCTGGTGACTTACATCGGAATCCTGGACCTCTCAAGCCGACTCATTCATTCCTAAGCCTCCAGCCCTGAAGTCCGACATGGGGGCTTGAATATAGTCCCCTATACCCCCGAAACAATTAATTAATTACAGTAGGATAGACTTCAAAGCATTTTGGGATGGGGCCCGAGGCCCTAACCCCATGGAAGCCTCACAGCCACAAGGCTCTAAGTCCAAGTGTGAGTGTGCCGAAGAACCAGTAGACGCCGTAGAGGGAAACAGCTGTCATCCCTAGGCCCCATGTTTTAAGGCCTTTAAGCCCTATACCTGAACCCCAAGTCCCTAAACTAATCTCTATGCCCCATGTCCTAAGGCCTGAAGCCTTAAGCCCCTGAACCCAAAACCCCAAGTCCCCAAACTAATCCCTAGACCCCATGTCCTAAGGCCTGAAGCCCTAAGCCCCGAAACCCCTAAACCCCAAGTCCCTCAATGGGTGAGCTTTAACAGAGGTCCTCTTGGAGGCCCCATTGGAAACCGTCTTTGCCCTCGTGGACGACCCAGCGGAGCGGATGAAATGGGCTGCTGGGACGGTGGAGTCCAGGGTTCGTGGCTTTTACGTTTACGATTTCTGTCCCGTGTAACCTAGAAGCCGAAGAACTAGCAAAGGGTTCCAGAAGCCTTAGTCTGATAATTAAGCCCCGTACTAAGGGGCTTTCTTGAGAGGCTGATGCTTGTACCGTATGTGTATAGTCCTCCTGAAGAACCTGAAACCTTGCACCCTCGGGAAAACACCACAGCATTTAATGCCTTGCCATTCCAAAGTCGAGGATGACATCATCGGCCCGAGTCTCCAGAAGCATGAGTCGAAGGGCTTCAGCTTCGTGCCGCTGTCGCCGCAAAGAGCCCTTAAACCAAAATCGGGAAACCCAAAACCCTAAACCCTAAACCCCGAAACCCCTAAACCCTAAACCCTAAACCCTATAAGCCCTTAAGGTTTCCGAGTGCCCGTGACGCTAGGATGTTTGGGGTCGGGTTGGGGCTGACGCACATGGGCTCCTTCTTTGCCCAAGAGGGCTGCAGGTTCGTGATCCGAACCCAGGGGCCTGAATGATTAGAATAGGGTTTGGGGGCATAGTATGCAATAACGACACGAAGGAACCCTAAGGAATAGTATGCTATACTAGGTGGCCATTTGGGAAACTGTAATATTTCCCTGATGGTTTCTATCGAGTCACCTAGTCATAAATACTTTTCAGGGCCCCAAAGCTACAACCCAGTATAGTATAGTTACTATAATGATAATAAGGAGCCCTCAGGAGCAGTTTCGGCACTAGCTGTGTGTGTGTGTGGCACATGTCAGCCAGGCAGCAAGAAAGCACCTCTTCCAGTTACAGCGCCGCGAAGATTGACCCGCCCCGAAAGCCGACAAGGCCCTATCTCCTAGATAGTATAAGGGGGACTTCTTAAAGGGGACCCTTCTTAACCCTACTTCTGGCTTTCTCTTTAAGGGGACCGTGTTGAGAGGGTCTATATCCCCAAAAGGGCCCCCCTAATCCTAACTATCTGCCCACCTAGCAACCTGCCCCAAGCTAAACGAGAGCTACCTTAAGGACGAAATGTATTTACCTTAAAAGGGTTTAAGGTTCAATCAGCATACCTGAAGATAGCCCCCGCAACGATCATGAGGTCGTTCAAGTTCGAAGCGATGATGGGTTTGGCTGCACACGACTTCCTCCAGTGGGATGCGCAGCAGGCCCAAGCGTGCTGGAACTCGAGAATGCTGATGGCAGGTTTGTGTAAGTGATGGGAGAGACGGACAATGCATAGCTAAACCAGGTGCCCGAAAGCCTAAACCCAAAACAACACTTGGGGTTTTTGGGAGACAAAGCCGTTGGGGCCCTCTCATTCATTGCAATTTGCTCTTAACCTTTGAAACCTTAAACCCTGCTGCCCATACATACCGAAACCCTACCTCAACAACCCGAGCCCGACTGGTACTAGGCCGCACCCCAAACCTCTGATTCATCAACCCCCCCAACCGCAACACCCTAACCCTAAAGGCACCACCCTCTACTACAGCCCTGAAACCTAAAGCGGGGTTCCGGAAACAAGGGGTACCCTATTTTGGTGTCCTTATAATAAGGATCCTACTATTTAGGGTACGATATTGGGGTCCCCTATGTTCGGAAACCCCCAGCTCCCAAAGTCCCGAACCCTGCACCTCCGACAAGCCCTATCCTGCAGGCCTTCGACCGCAACCGCCAGGAATGCCAGGCCAGCCGGCTAGTCTTTGGGTTGTTTTTTAAACTGGGGTCCCCTTTTAGGGTCCCTTTTTATAAGGGTGCCGTCCTACATTGGGGACCCCAAAAAGAGAGAGCCTAATTTAGAGAACTAGCCATATCTGGCATCCCAAGCCTTACTTACTGCGGGCCTGTGGAGAGTTCAGGCTTTGGCTATCCCCAACCCTTACTACGTAGTAGGGGTTAGGGGTTCATTATGGGTTAAGCTTTAGTTCCCCAAGATACTGGACAAGTGAGCTTCAACAACGCCAATGAATCTAGGGTTGGTGTTTAGGGGTTTAGGCGGCTCTGGATGACAAGGTAGTGACGAGGCTGCTCTACCACCCCCCCCCCCCCCCCCACAGTGTTTCGTGGGCCGAGGGCCTTATAACAGTATAGAGCTTTGAGGTTAAAGGATTTACGGTCGGAGGCATCAGGGTTGGAGGTTACAGGTTTCGGCCGAATACCTTGGGCAAAGTCTACCGCCAAGGGACGCAACAACTTTCGATGTTGAATGCCACGTAAACCCTAAAGCCCCAAATCCCAAAAACGTGATTCCTCAAATTTTGGCACCAAGCCCCAAATGTGTGTAAGACTTTCGCAAAATCCCCTACACAATCCCTGCAACATCCTTGTGCAAACCAGTATACAGCCCTTATGACAACCTTCTGGAATCCCTACCAAATCTCGATCAAATCCGACAAACACCTAAACCTTACTCAAAGTTACTTACTTATGCCCGAATCCTAAACCCCAAAACCCCTAAACCCTGAACCACCCTTCTGAACCACAGGATGTGGCAGGCCTGAGCCACTGGAGCCACGTGGTCCTATGGCAGCCGGCATCTATGGCAGGGCCCGGCCTACCCCCATACGAAGGCTAGGGTCCCTAAAAAGGAACCCGTAAGAGGGTTTAGGGTTTAGGGATGGGGGTTTAGGGTTTAGGGTTTAGGGTTTAGGGTTTAGGGTTGGGGGTTTAGGGCGTTTAGGGGTTAGGGTTTAGGACCCTCATAAATCGGACTTGATGCCAGGGTTCGCTTTCTGCCTGGGCGAACTTTCCTAAGCGTTGGCTGGTATGGCCCAGTGCTTTCGGACGGGTTCGGCTAGGTTACCGCCAAGAGCCTCTTCGTTTCCTTGAAGAAGTGCCGTTGGATATCGAAACTGGAGTCATGACCGTTGGTACAGTAGCCACTGGCTCACCCACAACCTGATGATCTCCACCAGGTTGCTACAAGGCGGTTGCCTTCGCCGTTGGGTTGGTGCCATGGCTGAACTGTTCAATCATACTCTTTATAGGCTTCTGAAAGGACCCAAGAATGAACCGGATATGGTCATAGCAGACCTTCTGTACAGCTCCCTGAAAGGGCCGAGCAGTTTAAGGAACTCCTCCGCGCAGAAATGCATACAGAAAGTCAAGCACGGGTGTCATGACATGTACCGCTGCAGCCAAACATGCACACCACACGTATAGACTTCTGGCAAGCCTTTTCGCGACGTCCGAGTCCACTATAAACTCAGTGGACTTGTCAGAAGCACGCACCTTTTGAAATTTTGGTTCTTAACCATACACCCTAAACCCTGAAAGCTTAAACCCTAAACCTTGAAACCATAAACCCGAGACCCGAAACCACAAAGCCTTGTCGAATTTGCAAGGGAGTGGGTGAAGACTCGCTTCTGGTAATCTGGAGGCTGTAACAATTAGAACCGGCTTTGTGCGTACTATATATACTAATGACAAGTATCTCTCTCTCTCTCTCTCTATATATATATATATATATTTACACACAGGCAGTATAAATTTACAGATATGTGTGTGCGTATGTGCGCATGTATGCATGCAGGCATGCATGCATGTATGTATATGCACATTGAGATCCCAATGGACTCATATTACTAAGTAGTTCGTCAGGCCCTATATCAGTTGTCGGCATATTTCTGTATCCAAAGCCTGAACGTCCCACACTTCTTTCGAGTCCTTCGTTTCTATCCGAGTCCAAGGATTGGGTTGTTAGGCCCCAGACTCTTCATATAGAAACTACCAACGTTAGTAAACAGTGGTTTAACACGAAACACTATTCTAATGACGGCGTCGGTATTAGCTACATATCTGCCAGGCTTCACCAAACCCAGTTGAACAAGCTGACACGAACACCAAAGCCACTTTAGCCCCAAAGCTCTAAACCATGGGCCATACCTGCCTTGAGCGAGTGTGTGTGTGGGCGTCAGTCGGAATCCTGGGCCTCAGAGTGTGTTTTCAAGACGGAGACGAGTGCACAAAAGCTCAACGCCCCACACCCTAAGCCCTGAAGCCCAAAGCCCTGCAACCTAATTAAGCCTTACCACCCCAAAGAAAACCCCCAAACCCTACAGCTACTACGCCGGAAGTCCTAAACCGCAAGTCGTCAATCTTCAGCTCAGCGAGCAGCCGCGAGGTGCGTCATGCGCCAAACCCGGAGCGGCAGACGAAGGCAGCTGTAAAGAATGAGGGTCTAGGTCGGGCTTAGGGGTTCAGGGTTGAGGGTTTGGGCGACGAGGCAAGCCCGCTGCAGGGGTCAAAAAACTGTAGACATTGTGGGCCTCCAAGAAGTGGAGGAACGGGTTAGATAAAGTGTACTTATACTTAGTAAATCAAAGCCCAGGAAGACCTGGCTTGGAATTAGGTTGTAGCTAAGTACTAAGTTGGACGACACAGTCCCCTCGAAGACTCTAGGACAGGTGGTGGAGATGGGATTTAGATAGTTCGGGCAGGCTCTGCATCCTTGCTGGGCAACACAAGCGCAACGGATAGGAGATCGGGAAGTGGGGTTCAGAGTGGTAAGAAGGGATTTCGAATAATCATAAACAAAAAGCGCAACTATCTGGACTTGCAGGTCAAGCAAGATTTGTTCCCTGCACAAAGCATAGACTCCAAACTTGTGCAAAACTCGAGGCCTCCAAACTACAATCCGAAGACGCCCAAAACCTACGCTTCTCGGATCCTCGATGTGACTTCTGCGAGGTGGTCGTGATGGCCCGGGTTCGTTTCAGCTCCGGTCTCATCCAGCAGCCCGGAGCCATCTCTTGGAACACATGTCTAGGGCCAGAGGTTTCTGAATTTGAAAGAGCCGCATGTTTGAGTGCTGCAACTTCACGGCTGAGCTTTCAACCTGAGCAAGCTCCAAAAAACCTCGACGCTCAAGCCTAAACCCCAAGACCCGTGCCTAATTCCTATAGAGGCCTACATAATTACCTATACTATTTTGGGTGTTCCATATTATGATCATAGTTCAATATGCCCCAAATCGAAACCCTATTCCACATTTATTAGGGCCCCTACATTGCTAAGATCCCAAGCGATGAGCTCTGGGCCATGGAATCCTAAGAAAATCCCAAACCCTAAACTTTACCCTAAACCCT